AAAGTCACATATGGCGCACTTGTGATGATGAAGGGCATCAGGAAAAATAATTTGTATTACTACCAAGGTAGTACAATTATTGGAGCAGTTGCAGCAGCTTCCGGAGGTGATGATTTGGACGCAACCCAGTTGTGGCATATGCGGTTAGGACATACTGGAGAGAAATCCTTGCAAATTCTGGCAAAGAAAGGATTGTTGAAAGGTGCAAAGGCTTGCAAATTGAACTTTTGCGAGCATTTTGTTCTGGGAAAGCAGAAGAGAGTGAAGTTTGACACCACTATACATAATACAAAAGGTATTGTAGATTATATTCACTCAGATGTATGGGGTCCTTCAAAGACATCGTCTTTGGGAGGAAACCATTATTTTGTAACTTTTATAGATGACTTTTTCAGAAGAGTTTGGGTGTATCCGATGAAGAAGTGCTTCAAATTTTCCTGAAATGGAAAAATATGATCGAGAACCAGACTGGTAGAAAGATCAAACGTCTTAGGACGGACAATGGAGGGGAATATAAAAGTGGCCCATTCTTTGACGTTTGCCATGAGTATGGTATTGTTCGACACTTCACTGTTAGACATACACCACAACAGAATGGGGTGGCAGAGCGTATGAATCGAACACTATTGGAGAAAGTTCGATGTATGTTGTCTAATACTGGGTTAGGCAAGGCATTTTGGGCTGAGGCTGTAACATATGATGGCCATCTCATTAATCGTCTGCCGTCATCAGCGATAGGAGGAAATGCACCATTGGAGGTATGGTCTGGAAAACCTGCTACTGATTATGATTCCTTACATGTATTTGGATCCATTGCTTATTATCATGTGAAGGAATCCAAGCTTGATCCGAGAGCAAAGAAGGCTCTCTTTATGGGAATCACCCATGGAGTGAAGGGATTCCGCCTTTGGTGTTTAGACACCAAGAAGATAATTTGTAGCAGAGATGTTACCTTTGATGAATCTGCCATAGTAAAGAAGGTAACAAGTGAAGCTGTCCAGAAAAGTAGTACTCCGCAACAGGTGGAGCATACTCCAAAACAGGTGGCGTTTCAGCAGATGATCCCAGAAGTTGATGCAGTTGATTCTTCAACTCCAATAGAAGAATCAGAAGATGAAGAGGTTCAAACCCAAGAACCATTGGAGACACCAAAAACACTTGCAGTTACAAGGCCAAGGAGAGAAATTCGTAGACCTGCTCGATTTGTTGATATGGTGGCCTATGCTCTTCCAGTTGTTGATGATGATATCCCTATCACTTACCAATAAGCAATACAAAGCTTGGAAAGTGATAAGTGGAAAAGTTCCATGGATGAAGAAATGCAATCTCTCCAAAAGAACAACACTTGGAAACTGGCACAATTACCGAAAGGTAAAAGAGCCATTGGATGCAAGTGGGTATTTGTAAAGAAAGATGGATCTCATAACAAGAAAGATGTTCACTACAAGGCACGGTTGGTAGCTAAAGGCTACGCTCAAAAGGAGGGAATCGACTACAATGAAGTATTTTCCCCTGTTGTGAAGCATTCCTCCATTAGAATATTGTTGGCCTTGGTAGCACAGTTGAATTTGGAGCTAGCTCAACTTGATGTAAAGACAGCTTTCTTGCACTATGATTCAGAAGAGGAGATCTATATGACACAGCCAGAAGGATACAAAGATGGTGGTTGTGAGAAATGGGTTTGTAAGCTGAACAAATCACTATATGGATTGAAGCAATCTCCGAGGCAGTGGTACAAGCGATTTGATAGCTTTATGAGGAGGCAAAAGTATACTAGAAGCAATATGATCATTGTGTGTATTTGCAAAAGCTCAAAGATGATCTTCATTTATCTTCTCTTGTACGTTGACGATATGTTGATCGCTTCGAAGAGTCAAAAGGAGATACACAAATTAAAGGCTCAGTTGAATCAAGAGTTTGAGATGAAAGATCTAGGTGAGGCCAAGAAGATTCTTGGTATGGAGATAAGTAGAGATAGACAGAGAGGGAAGCTTTGTTTAACACAGAAGCAGTATCTGAGAAAGGTATTACAATGTTTTGGCATGAATGAAAATACCAAACATGTAAGTATCCCATTGGCTTCTCATTTGAAACTTAGTTCTCAATTATCTCCTAAAACTAACGAAGAACGAGTGTATATGGCAAAATTTCCATATGCTAATGCAGTTGGGAGCATGATGTATGCAATGGTGTGTACGCGTCTTGACATTTCACAAGCAGTTGGAGTTGTGAGCAGGTACATGCATGATCCTAGAGAAGGACATTGGCAGGCTGTGAAATGGATTCTACGGTATCTCCAACAAACCGTGGATGTTGGTTTAGTTTTTGAACAGGATGAAACACTTGGTCAGTGTATGGTTGGATATGTTGATTCTAATTATGCTGGTGATTTGGATAAGCGTCGGTCAACTACTGGGTATTTGTTTACTCTTGCTAAAGCCCCAGTAAGTTGGAAGTCTACATTGCAATCTACGGTGGCCTTGTCTACTACAGAGGCAGAATACATGGCAGTTTCAGAGGCTGTAAAGGAAGCAATTTGGCTTAACGGGTTGATGGAAGACTTGGGAGTTGTTCAAAGTCACATTAGTCTCTATTGTGACAGTCAGAGCGCTATTCACTTAGCGAAAAATCAAGTCTACCATTCAAGGACTAAGCATATCGACGTGAGGTATCACTTTGTGCGGGAGATCTTTGAAGAAGGAAAGATTCTACTTCAGAAAATTGCGACATCAGAAAATCCTGCAGATATGATGACCAATGTGGTAACAGTAATCAAGTTCATCATTGTTTGTGATTACATCCTGAAAGTATGAACACCTTCGGGTGAGTGGCGCTTGTGAGCGCAATTAGAGGCACTACAAATTTGGGGAGTTGAAATAGTTGAGTAGGTTTGGTAATTTCAAGCCAAGGTGGAGATTTGTTAGATTTGTCTAGAAATTAAGTTGACGAGTTGGAAATTTCATCTTGGTTGGTGGCCAACTTATTGGAAATTTCATCTTGGTTGGTGGCCAAACTTTGAACATGTGAATTTCATATTTGGTGGCTAACTTGTACACATTGAAAAATTATTTGGTTGGTGGCCAAACTTTGAACATATTGTTCTTGAAACTCAACTATAAATAGGCCTAAGTATTTCCATTAGAAATAATCCCAAAAACAAGTTCTCTTTTCCTCTTGTATTCTTCACTCTCCCACTTTGGGAATTCCAAAGAATTCCATTTGTTGTAATATTGGCGATATAGTGAAGTTATCATCCGGTGTGGTGCCCGAGGAGTAGACGATATTCTCGTCGAACCTCGTAAATTTGGTGTGTTCTCTCCTTTATTGTTTTTTATTTGGTTTTTTTCCATTGTGTTTCAATATTCAATAGTTTGACAGGTTTATCCGCTGTGCAACCTTTGATGGTTTTAATCTTGACATTTTAGGTTAATTTTAAAACTACGTTCGTGTGGGAAATAACTCGTTTTCCCTACCAAGAAAAACAGTTTGCTATTTTCCTATTACAATTTCTTCTCCCATTTGCTATTTCTTTTCCCTAAATGGCAGTTCAATTGTCTCTAATAAGAATTGAACGGGATCCATCGATTTTGTAAGATTACACAGTAAGGGAGAGACGGGAGAGGGGAGAGGGGAGAGAAATGGGGAAAAAGGGACGAGGAGGGAATTTTCTTTCAAAAAGATTAATTTGTAATTTTAGGGTTATTTTAATTTTAAAAAATTGTGGTTTTTTAATAAATAAATTTAATTTTTTAATTTTTTTAAAAATAATATTTTTATTATTAAAAATTGAAAAATATAACCGTAGATACCTAAAAATATAACAGAGAAAACGTTATACCTATTTTTAACGAAAAATTCTTTAAACACTAAATAGTATTTCGAGATATAATTTAAGCATTTATTTTTATATTAAGTGTTTTAAAATTTGTGTTAAAATAAGGTTTATATTACAAATAACTACCTAAACTATACTTTGTTTTCTATTTAAGTACTTCAAGTATTTTGTGTCAAAATCGATACCTAAACTATTCAAATATTTTCGTCTAAGTTCTAAAATAGTTGACATGTTACATTAATTAAAAAATAGTTTAGGTATTTTGATGAAAAAAATTGAATACTTTAGGCACTTATATTGACCAAAAAATATTTTAAGTACACGTTTTTGACCAAAAAGATAATTTTAAGTACTTATTTTAATAAAAAAAATTACTTTAGACATTTAAATGCAAAGGATTTGGCTTTGGCTGTTGAGCTTTCAGAAACCGAAACAGGATTGAATGAATGTTGCCAACTGTTTTGCAACTTCCTTTTTTAAAAATAGAAAAGATAAAAACACTACATTAAATGCAAATCTGGAAGAAATGCTTCGAGCAGATGTGAGGGTTTCCTACACAGATGATATGCTACCCCGTATGCCAATTCTTTTGTTTTGTTTAACCACCGTATTCAATATTAATCGATTATTTTAGATTAAATTTTATAAAAACTTATTATAAAAAATTATATAAATTTTAACGATTAATAATTCATTCTTTATATACTATTCGGAATCTGAATCATTATTTTTACTGATAATAAATTACACGTAGAATATCATTAAATATCTTTATACAAATAAATAATTAGTTATTTATAACAGATAACATATATGAACCGTTGATAAAACTAGAAGAAAAAAAACTGATAAAAGGGGTAACAGATTAATTTGAACAAAGAATACTATTAACCAACAACAACAACAAAGTGTAGTTGATAAATATGCATGGTTTTCCTGAATCCCCGCAAATGTACGTTAACTTAGAACCCGTGCTTTATGCCGAAGCATTGCCCTAATTTAGGCCTAATTCAACCCCATATATACCTCTCCCACTCCCTCTCCATAATTGTGCGGGTATAAATCAAACTTTCAGAGAAAAACAGCACCACATTTCTTGTAAATTACTGCCAGTTATTCTCCTGGAGACACCGTCGACAAAATCCAAACCCGAAAAGAAACAGTAATGGCATGCCAAATCTTCGTTTTTGCTTTTGTCTTAATTGCTTTAACCGGGTTGGTTTCCACCGCCAATGGCGCTGATAGTAAACCAATCGCCCCCGATGGTGTTGATAGTAAATCAATCACCCCCGCCATTGCATCCACCGTACCAGATGTTAATATCATCGGCACCATTGATGACAAAGGTGCACCATCTCCGAATGCCGCTGTTGCTGCTCCTCTTGGCAGTGAGCTGGATGCTAAAAGATTTGCTCCTACTCCTAGTGATGCAACAACTGTTGGTGTCTCAGTCGTACAGGCAGCCACCGCCGTCGGGGCGGTTTCATAGCTGGCTCCCTCGTATTCTAAATTAGCTTCGCTGAATGAAGGTGTCGTAGACCTCAAAAAGCAGACTTCTTAATATGTCAAATTTGAGATTTGCATATGGCAGCTGCTTGTACGTTTATATGAAGTAACAAAAGCATATACAAGTTCTTTTCTTTCTTTTCTTTTTACCTTTCATAACGAAAACTGTAAAATCAAATGTTCAAAAATTGGGACTAAGACAAAAGGACTAATATCAATTACAAGACTGACAGAAAACAGATTCTTAAATGCTTTATAACAGAGAATGTACCTCAACTTAGTAAAAATCCCTATCACTTGAGTAACTTAAAACACTATAAAAGAAATTCAGGTCTTAAGAATTTTTTTACCCCAACTATTTGATGCATGAGAGTTGACAGGGCATGATGGAAACAAGTTTAACTGCATTCCTTGGCTGCTGTGATGACCCTTTTTAACTCTGGATCGAAGAATGAATGAAACTTCCCTTTATGAACCGCTGCGATTGAAGGCTGGTTGCCATGTTTTATACCATCTCTTACCAAAAATACAAAGCACCGATCAGAGACGGAATGGACTTAACTTGATGGGCAAGGTGAAAGTGGAAATAGCGAGTCACACACTCCAGAACATTATCATAATCAGCTGAAAAGTGGACATTTTCCTCAATACATGCCCTTAAAAACAGGATTCGTTCGGCAAATGCTGGCTCCATATTCCTCATATTCAGCTTTTGTATGACATGCCTGCACATTGTACAGGTTAGGAGACTTTCAACCAAAATCCAAATTTTAGGTTGAAGTTGAACTACACAACTCTAATGCCAAGCGTGTTGGGTAATTGACAAATCAATCAAGCAAGAACTGTGACAAATTATAAATGCTAAATCAATGCCATTCAGCAGCTGGAAAAGAGAAAAGAGACTAAGATGAGTTTAGAGTGGAGATTCCTACCGCAAAAAATTCAGGTGTTGATGCAAGTACAGAACCTCCAAACCATACCGCAAATCTTTGGATAGGATGACTGACTACATTAACTTCCACGGGTTGTGACTGGAAGGTGAAGATCCAAACAGAATTAGCAGTTAGCTTTTAAAAATACACAACAGGATGGAAATACAGGCGAAAATATCCTTACTTTTATTTCCCCACCAGCTCGAGTATCAGACACAAGAACTCGGGCATCTACAATCTTTTTCAGATCTCGCTGCAACCTTCTGTGGAAGTCTTTGAACATGGTTGATCCACCAGATAATACTATGTTCTGAAAAATGTTTTGATAGTGAAAAGAGAGCATTAAATTATTTATAGAGATATATGACTAAACAAGTGAAAAAATCACTCTTCTCAATTCAGTTATCAGTCTTATGTATTTAACTTCAAGCTTTCTTTGCTTTTTTGGCAAGTATCAACAATGTAACCAACAGTTGGCACAAGCCATTATCAACATACTGCCACTAGGCTAGGAACTTTTTTTGGTTAAATAAAGGTAGGAATAAAACAGCCATGACTTTGAATATAGAGATTAGAATCAGACCTGGTATGAGAAAATAAAATCTAATCAGCACAAAAATATAAACACTGATTCAAGAGTTTCAAGTGAAAAAAGCACATATCAAGAACATCATCCTAGTTCAAATAAAAAGAGACTGTTCTATCAAGAAGCAAAGTGCATGACCGCCAGGTGAATCCTTAATCAGTACATCTCAGCCTTCAACTGTGATACTTTCTTATAGTCTCATTTAGATCTATCTTAGCTAAGAGTCAAAAAAATTGCAAACTGCTTCTCTTTTTCTAATGAGAATATCATAATTCACCTTATACAAAGCTCTTCTGGTGTCAATTGGTGCCGACTGAATGCACTTATCTATTACAACTGGTAAGGGAGTAGTAAAATCACTGCTATAGATCTCAGGACTGAAGAAAACCTGTCAAACCAACCGATACAGAAACATCAGCAACAAGATTCAAGAAGCAATTTATAAGAAGTAAAGTTCATCAAAATTTTATTTCTCAAACAGCAGTGTATTATCAACTACCTAGTTGCAACATCAAAGTACAAAAATGACAAAACCAGACAAATTAAGAAATTTAACCAGCACTAAGAAATCAATAAAACTTATATTCTAATCTCCATACACTACAATCCTGTTTCTGTTCATGGAAATTGACATTTAGATAAGGAAATATTTTGTTCTACTTGGTCTACACCAACCTATTGTTAGCAATATCACTGCGAGGGCATACTTATATGTGAAGAGATTTTTAGTATATGCAGATCAGAGAAAAGAGTAGGAGGAATCTGCTTTTTGACAGATAAGCATTGACATGAAATGATAGCAGCAAGCAACCAAGTAGGGGAAATCTTCATAAGGCAGCCAGGAGTCTAACCACTTGAAAGAGTCAGTAAATCAGGTGCTTAATTGGTCCGCGAGAACATGTTAATCTAGTAGCGATATCCTGACTAACCCCAACCCCAAAAACCCTTATTGAATATGGAGAAATGGCAAAAGTAGGTGTAATCTTAAACACGAGGATTGAGTTTGAAAGGGAAAAAGAGGACAAACCTCAGGGCCTAAAAATCGTTCATAACCAATGTCACAGGAGTATGGTGCCCCAGTCTTTGGTCTAATGCCCCTCCAATGTTTGATATACTTTCCAGGTTCTTTGTCATGCTTGTTGAACTCCTAAATAATATTATCAAATTACCATTGGAATATCAGAACATGTCAACTTCATTACAGTATCTCATACCGGGTAAAAATCATGAGGAGAAAACTCATGCCAATACATTTTACAAAATCACAATCCAGTGAAATAAAATATGACCTTGACTATATCAGAACACGTATAGCAGTACATTTCCTTCACTTTTCGAGCTGCTTCAAATGAATCTTCCGGTGGAATTTTCTCTCCTCTTTCCTGAAAATAATGGTGTCAAAGGCCAGAATTCAATAATAATGCGTTAAGATTATCTTACAATCTCCATAGCCACAAATCAAAGGTCCACACGTACAAGATAACTATAGAAGAGAAAGATTTAAAGCCTAACACCTTTGAGCTTTTAAAGAAGCAATCTCACGTATGGTGATAAGAACAAGAGGGGTAACAAGGCACATTAATTTGACCAACCAACCGTGAATAGCTTTTTTTTTCAAATTGAATCTAGCATTCTTCAATGGCAATAAATTTAAAACTTCATTCAGTTTCCTCAAGGAAGATACCACACAGCCCATATGGCAATTGGAAGAATGCATGATACTGATACTATCACAACTAGGACTGGGTAATTGAAAGCATTGTACTTAAAATAGAAGTACATAAGCATATAAATTCAGCCATATAGAAGGCTGAATTGTGCTAAGAAGAGTAGATAAGTTTCTCATCAGGACATACAAATAACAAGAAGTACTAGAAATTTTGAATAAATAGTAAATGGATACCAAAGCACTATAAAAACAAACTTTCTAATATCAAGAAGCAGAAACTACTTTTTTGTTCATGGCAGGGAGTTGAGGAAAAAAAATACCCGCATAAGCTGTTGTATGAAGAGTGTAACATCTGTTCCAGCTATTGGAATTGACTTAATGCTGCTCCCAATAACATAACCATCAGCAACAGGTACAATATGAGTAGCCCCATCTCCAACATCCACTACCACTCCTGTCATCTCACACTACAGAAAATTGTGTCAATCTAAATGGAAGTAAAAACTATATAAGGATGATTAGCAAGATAATGAATGCACATAATGTAGAGTAATATACAGCTAAGTACAAGAAAAATATTTGACGAAGTTGGCAGACTTTTAAGTTCATAACAAGTAACAACACCTTCAAGCTTAATGTATTTTAAATATGAAGACTGGATAAATCTATACAAATCTGATTGTATTCACTACAAAACACCGTTTATTAAAAAAGGACTCCAACGGAGTCTATTATAGCACGTTCTCATATATAATGACACCATATATCACCTATTCCATTGATAACTTAAAATATTAGATCAAGAAAAAGACAATTCAGGGAATTTATGGGACAGAAATAATTAAATATTGCACTGGTTTCTCAATTACTAATTGGCTTTAAATCAATTAGAATAGCTGACCATTCTAGAACCAGCATTCATACACAGAGTTAAAAGGTTTCGTTTATTTAAATAATAACGATCACAGAGAGTCAAGGACCCAAACTTATTCAACTAATGAACTGTTAAATACCTAACCAAAACAGAGAACAAAAGCAAAAACACATGATTCAGGAAATCAGTCACCAACCTTAGAGGTAGTGTACCCAGCTGCTAAAGCAAGCACAGAATTCACAGCAATATAAAGCCCTGGAACATTAAACGTCTCAAACATAATTTCACCTGTATATTCTCGATTCTCAGGAGCAGTAAGAGGACTCTCAGTCAACAAAAAGTAATGATCCTCGGGATCACACCGTAAATAATTGAATATACATTGCTGCCAATACCGTTCCATGGCATCCCAGTTATATACTTGACCATGCTTAATAGGATACGTAAGGTTGTAAGTGTTACTCGATCTTGATTTCGTCAGTGCTTCATCTCCAATGAAGAAATCAAGATCTGCCATCACCCCAGCTGAATACTGACTTGACCAATTTGACTGGAAGAAGTTCTGGATTGATTGAGAAACGACTCGTTAAGTGCTACTACTGTTGGCTGAATAAAACACGGCTCTACATTACCCGCAAACCCCATCTTGGTATATCTGCCAAAAAGGAAATCGAATAAAGAGAAAAGAGAACTCTAAAATGAAATATCAACAGGGGAATTTTATCAAACAGATTGTGAGCAATGAATATACAGCAATAATAATAAGCCAACGAACAGGAAAAGACAAACCTACCCGGTACCGTTGTCTATGACGACGGCAGGGCGAGAAGTTGGGTCCATCGAGAATCAAAACGGAAGCTTGAGAGTTGTTGGGTGTTGTTATGGATCTGCGAGCAAGATCCGAGAGAGAATTGGGGGCAAGAGACCATGGTCATGAAGCGCGCTTGAAGAAGCGCAGATAAGGAGAAGCAAGCTTCCCCCGATGGAACTGTTGATTGGATCCCAATCGAAAAACAGCAAGCGACGGTTCAACGGTATTAGCTTCTTCAAAACAACAGTTGTTCTTTAGCGATGTACCAAACTGTATGGAATCAAGTCAAACTACCCATTAAAAAAAACTCCAACCTTCGTCAAAACTCCAAATTTCCTCTTCGTTTTCTTTCTCTTTCTGATTGATAATTTTCTTAGCAATCAAACAATAAGACAGAAAGACAACGCACCAACCTTCTTTTTCTTTTTTCTTCTTAAATGCTTGGAGATGTACGGCTTCCTCTATTTTGACCGAGTGGTAATAGTAACAGGACAATCTGTAAATGAATAAAACAGAAATTTGATTGACTAACAATCAACCCAACAACAACGAAAGCCTATTTTCATATGTAATGGGATAAAGAAAAATAGGGTAATAGGCTATTCTTAACGTTAGGTTGAGAGTAACTTTTGTGAAAATATTCGACAATAATAAAGAGAAAATGCAATGCATGTAAATAAATAAATAAATAAATACATAGTTGAAACAGTTTTCATATGCTTGTTTGTAATATGGGTAATCCCTGTAAATAAATCCCTGCGTAAAAATCTCTATATATATACAGAAAACGAAAGACCAAGCTAAAATTAGAAAGAAGAAACCTGAAGAAGAGAATACACAGTAGTCAATATAGCAAGTTACAAGAAGAAATAAAGTCAAATGGGTTAACACCTAAAACTAAGGCAACACTACTCCGCTATCCTAGTTCTAAGCCTTCATAAAATTCAATGACATAAATGTATATAAAGTAGAAATCATGAAAATTACTACAAAGGCATTAAAAAGAGGACAGAGATTGTTACACCCTATGGCAGTGACCCGCACTACTCGGCTACCCTGGTCTTAAGTCTTCATACTTTCCTATCAGAGGTCATGTCCTCGGTAAGGGTTAAATCCTTCAAATCAGATCTCAAACAATCTTCCCACTTCCGCATTAGTCGTCCTCTCCTTCTGGCACCGTCGACTGTAATCGACTCTACCCTCCTGACCGCATCCGACGGTTTTCGCCTAAGGACATGACCAAACCACCGTAGTCTTCCCTCCTTCAACTTTTCGGATACCGACACCACCCCCAAGGACATCCTAATAGCAGAGTTTGGTGTCATGTCCCACAACGTCCTACCACATGCCCATCGAAGCATTCTCATTTCTGCGGCCTCCATCTTCCTTACTTGATCCTTCTTGATTACCCAACATTCTGATCCATACAACAGCGCTGGTCTTATTGTCATTCTATAAAATTTTCCCTTAAGTTTTTGAGGCACCTTCTTGTCACACAAAACTCCAGTAGAAGCCCTCCACTTTATCTATCCCGCCTTTATACGGTGTGTAACGTCATCATCTACACCCCCATCTTTATGTATCATAGACTCTAGGTACTTGAAACAATCCTTTGAGAGAGAAAATGCCTTCTATGCATACTTCTACATCTTCATCGTTTTGGTTCCCACTGAAGTTTGAACATAAATACTCTGTCTTTTCAATATTGATCCTTAGACCTTTTTCTTCCAAAGCAGTCTTCCAGGTAGCCAGTCTACTATTCAGCTCAGCTTTTGTTTCAGCAACTAGGACAATGTCATATGCGAAAAGCATACACCATGGGACACCGTCTAGTGTCGCAAAAAAGACGTCGTCCATAATCAAGGCGAAGATGTAAAGGCTAAGATTCGATCCCTGGTGGAGTCCGATTTCCACAGGGAATGCCTCGGTGTCACCAACTGTAGTCCTGACGTAAGTAGTAGATCTACAGTACATATCACGAATCGCCCGGATATAAGCAGTTGGGATCCGTCTCGTTTCCAAGGTCTTCCAGATCGTATCGCGTGGGACGCTATCATACGCCTTCTCAAGGTCAATGAACGCCATGTGAAGATCTCTATTTTTTTTCCCTGTATTTCTCCATAAGCCGTCGAAGTAGATGAATCACCTCCGTAGTCGACCTGTCTGGCATAAAACCAAATTAGTTTTCTGAAACACTAGTAACCTGTCTCAACCTAGCCTCTATCACCCTTTCCCATAGCTTCATGGTATGGCTTAGTAGTTTAATACCTATGTAGTTGCCACAACGTTGGTGATCTCCTTTATTCTTAAAGATTGGTATCACTGTAGACTCTCTCCACTCCTCTGGCATCTTGGCAGTCTCTAAAATAATATTAAAGATGTTGGTCAACCACTTAACTCCCTCTTATCCTAGGGCCAACCACACAGTGATAGGAATTTGATCTGGGCCGACAGCTTTGTCCCTTCCCATCTTTCTAAGAGCCATTTTGACTTCCTCAAACTCAATCCTACTTGTAGGGCAGTTATTGGCCGTAGTATGATGGTTGGCTGACCCATCAACGACCATATCTCTACAGGGCGAGGCACCGTCATTAAATAAGCCAAAGAAGTAACTACCCCAAACCCTCTTAATATCATGGTCTTTCATTAAAAGAAAACCATTGGTGTCCTTAATAAACCTAATGCTACCGAGATCCTTTTTCTATTTTCCCTGGATTTTGCAAGCCTGAAGATGCCGTTTTGTCTTTCCTTAGTGTCTAATCTCTTGTACATTTCCTCATATGCCTTATCCTTTGCTTTAGCCATTGTTTTCTTGGCTTCCCGCTTTGCCTCCTTGTATCTTTGTTTAGCTCTCGATCTTTCTTCGTCGTCATTGCATTGTAGAAACTCCTTGAAGCAAGTTTGCATTGTCTTCACCTTAGTTTTGTCTTCGTCATTCCACCACCACGATTCTTTATGTTCCTTTACCTTCCTTATCGATAACCCAAGGGTGTTTTTGCCCACCTCACTACATGTAAATTTTAATTCTGGTTAAACTACCTGAATGGTCAATAAACTTTTAATAGAATAATGTTTTGGTCACCTAAAATAAAATTCTTTCAATCAGTCAGCATCGTTAAAAACAATTAGGGTAAATTACTCAAATGACCACTTAATTATGGATTATGTTGATATGATCATCGTACTTTCAATTTTGACAATATGACCACATAACTATTTAAGTTGTTTCATGTAACCGCTTGTCGTTAAAAACAAATGATGTAGCTGACGTGGCTGTTATTGATTAACGATGAGTAAAAGTTCCACATCAATTACGCCGTTTGTTTTTTACAACAAGTGACTATATTGAAACTACTTAAATAATTTTTTGTTCATATTACTAAAATTGAAAGTATTATGATCATATCGACATTGATCCTATAATTAAGTGGTCATTTGAATAGTTTACTCAAAAAATTATCATTTTGATCGTCCACTGTTAAATTTCTACCATTGTTAATGTTTGGTCACTCAACATTTAGATGTTAACGTTTTAGTTCCTAAATTATTTTAATATTTTAGTCATTCAAACATTAAATCTCTTAACAAATGTAGTCTTTAACCAAATAAAACTTTCTTTGACACATTAAAGTAAACCATTTGATTGGATTTAATCAGGTAGATTATGTTCTGTCTTTATTTAGATTAGTTTTATTTGTTTGTGCTCCTTAAATTACTCTTGCTCTGCATTAAACATCACTCCCTCCTAAACAAAAACCTCAACTAACAAAACCTCTGTTGTAGTTACAAAAGCTTTTGGGCGGTTATCACAAGTTCATCAAGGGTAGCGGTGGTCGTCTCCTCCAGCCACTTCCCTGCCTTTTTTATTTTATTGTTGTTCGATTTTTTTAATTTTCAGTTATATTTTAATGTATTTAAAATAATATTTTTTCTTGGTCATTTTTCTAATAAAAGAGTATTATGGTTATCGGTGTTTTTGAACTCTCGATGTAAGTTTCTTTCATTGGTCTTCTTCTTGGTCTTGGTTCTTTAGGATTTCATGGTTGCTTGCTTTTTCGATATCTGATTCATTTGTTCGTTAGCATATGGCATTTTGTTGGTTCTCAGATATATGTGTTAGACGAGACTGCGGTTAAAGGATGATTCGTTTTTCATTCGTTCACTTCGGATATGCTTTAGGTTTTCGTCCTCTATGTTTGATGTTTTGGGAAGTCGAGTGATCTATCTATGTATGTCTTTAGGTCAATTGTTCATGCTCTTTCTTATCAGACTGTCAATAGTCAATCACCGATATATTTTATTTATAATATATATTAATATATTTACATTTATGCATATGACGAGATGTTGTTGATGATGTTTTATTTGACGAAGGAATATATTACCGTTCTAAAGAAAACACTCCCTCCTTTAATTTATCTTCAGCCTTTCTTTTATTTGTTTTCAACGTTAATTCTAATTTTAAAGTAATTTTAAAATAAATTTATTCTAATTTGATTGCAGAATTATTAGATTTTTTTAGTAAAGGTTTATTAGACATTAAAGTAACAAGCTTTGTCCTATTGTGCAGGATTGTATGAAACCTTTGTTCACATAAATCAAAATGAAATGACCATCTTCTCCTATTGACCATAATTTGAAGAAAGAAATTGATGGTTTCTCTCAATAGTTTCAGGTTCATGGATTTGTGCAAGACAATGGGACAGGGAAAAGGTGGCCATGACAGAAGCTGTGTTGATGTGGGAAAGAGACAACTCTGCTACTTAGACGATATACACTTTTGCAATAGCCCTAAAGATAAAATTAACCCTCAAACATTTTCTAAGGGTAAACCACGTGTTCAGTACATAAATTATTATTTTTTATTTCGTTTTGACACATAAACTTTATTTTTTTTCCAAAATCACACTTAACATTCAGTTTATGTTTTATTTGGTACTCATCGTTAAAAAGTAACAGAACTATTAATGTGATATTTTTTTATTTTTTCAGTAATGACGTGGTGACATTACCTTATAATGATATGTCGATATCACCATTAAATTTTTAACAACGGGATACCAAAATGAAACTTAAACTAAATGTTAAATATAATTTAAAAAAATAAAATTTAAGTGTCAAAATAGAACAAAAGTGATAGTTTAGATATTAAATGTATAGTTTACCTATTCTATGAAAGGTCACTTTAGTTCATTTTAATTTCGGCATTTTAATTTTATTCAAAATAAACTATAGTTAGATTGAAATTGTTAACGGAATGTTGTTGACATGACATTTCATCATACGTTTAATATGTGCCGCGACATACGTCACATCATTACATCTGATAATTCAAATTTAAACTGTTGTATCTATAAAAGTGCCGACATTATCAATTAACTAAGAAATGATAAACATATATTATTTTATATATATTTTTAAATCTAAA